CGTCGGGCCGAACCACGCCCCTTAGCTGTGATATAATGAGCATATACCACGGCCTGTCGTGAGCTATTGCTTAAATATAATATAATATGTAAGATGATGTAGTTAAATATAATATAACATAATATATAATAAATTATATAATATAATATATAACATAATGTAATATAATATTAAATAATATATATATATATATATATTTCGGAATGTTTCTCTAATGTTGACTAAAATAAATGTTTACCGATGATCATGCCGATCTCACAGCTCTGGTCTCTGTAGCCGCAGCTCATCATCGTGCCCACTGTGTCGTTCACCATGGCAACTGAGCCAATATCATAGTCCTGCAGATAGAGATTAATTATAATAATCAATTAAGGAAAATTGTTTCTGTATCCTGGGTATACAGTCATTTGACAGGCTGTGTCCATGTGCAAAATGGGTGTAATACCAGTGTAATTAAAGTGTAATATAGATGTGATAATGCTGTAACGTGGCTGTAATATGGGTCAAATAACAGTGTAATATAGGCGTAATTACAGTGTAATATGGGTCTAATAATGGTGTAACATGGATGTTGTATGGGTCAAATAACAGCGTAATAGAGGTGTAATTACAGTGTGGGTCTAATAATGGTGTAACATGGATGTTATTTGGGTCAAATAACAGTGTAATATAGGTATAATAATAGTGCAGAACTCAACAGTATTTAGTACTGACCCCTCTCCTGTCAATGGCCTTTCTCAATAGCTTCACCACGTCTTCGCCCTCCACCCCAGAGCAGTTAAAGCCTTTAGTCCAGCGGATCAGGATGCTCTGTACAGGAAACATATAGCATTCAAGTTTTATACAAAGGAAAAAAAGTCTTATATTGTATGTAAAACTAGTAGATTTTCTTTCAAAAACACCTGCAGTGCTTTAAATCTCATGCAACAATATTTTCATATACTTATTAGAAATCTTAGTTTTTTTTTGATGAACCCTTTAATGGTTTATGTATCCTGGGGGATACAGTCATTTGACTGGCTGTGTCCATGTTTAAAACAGGTGTAATGCCCGTCTAATTACAAAGTAATATAGGTGCAATATAGGTCTAATAATGTAATTATGATGTGATCAAGGTGTAATATTGGTGTTACGTGGGTGTAATAACAGTCTTATATGGGAGTAATAACAGTGTAACACAGGTGTAATGAAGAACATAGCAATCAATACATTTTCCAAAATATGTTATGAATGCCCATTTAAGGGTTAAGAGTGTGTGTGTGCGTGCGTGTGTGTGAGAGACCTTGTCGATTTCTTTCTGTTCGCAGGGGAAGGAGAAGGTGAACCCCAGAGGAAGAGTTTGTCCCTTCAGATTATGGGAGACGAGGAAGTCCCCGAGACAGTCGGCGATGTGGTTGAACAACTGGACAGAAAAGAGACGGAGACAAGTAGCAGAATATGAAGACACTAAAGTAGTGTTTTGTTCTTTTTAGGTACTGTATATACTGTATTTGTATATGTAATGCTGCCTAATGTATATGCCACCTGCTCTCCTGATCCCAGCATCATTTCCTTGGGGATGGCGCAGATCTGACTGTCCATCTTCAGGACTTTCTGCTGCTCCTCCACCA